CTCTGAGTGCAATCGCTTAACCTCATCTTTAAGTTGGTAGATATGCTTGGAAAGTTTCTCTTTATCTTTATTAGATCGATTTAGATCCTGTTGTATGTGCTTATTGTCTTTATCCAAGACAGAACATTTATTGGCAAGTCGATTGCTATACTCTATAGCAATTTCTCGATCTTGATTTGCACAAGCAAGCTGGTTTTCAAGTTCCGTTCGACTAGGTGGATATCGGTTTGATGGTATGTCTCCAAGTTTTTTGCATTCACCTATATCTGATAATGTACGGATTCGAGGCATATTATCCAATTCTTATAGATATCTAAAAAATTAATATATTTGTATTTTGAATGTAATATATTATATATAATATACGTATTAGATGGAATATACATATCTGTTATAATGTATTAGATCGAATATACATATCTGTTATATAGAAAAATGAATAATATTATTCTGTATATTCTATCTTTCTAATATATTTTAATATTTCGATATATTTTATATTTTTTGTTAGATATAAATTTATATTTACATTTACTGCTATGCCTAGAGTATGTATACGATCTGATGCACCCCTATTTTCTCGGGAAGATTATTCTTATATTATGCAATGTCGTGATATAAAACCAAGATATAAAATTTTAAATGACTTGATGGGTAAATATAAAACATCAACAAAATGTATTTATCAGATTTGGAGGGGGGAAGAAGCTAATAGAGTTCTCTGGGATCAACCTATACCCCATGATGATGATGATGACTCTAATCAAAATTTAAATATTTTGCATAATGCACAAAGTGTACAAGTACAGTCTAGTATATCCAGCCATGATGTGTCTACCTCTGACAATAATTTATCTAATGCAAATGATATAATTTACTCTAAAGTTTCACTAGATAAATCAGCAGAGATAACACAACCAAAGACGAGTCAAAGACTCGAAGCTCAGCTTTCTCAAAATTCTAATTTCGCAGTAAAAAAAAGTGTTTCTTCTGATAAGAACAAAGTCCTATGTCTCAAAGAGACGCCCCCTACAGGCCTGCAAAGCAATAATATATCTAGAAGGAAAAACGATCTTGAAAAATTAATGAAAGACACTAAAAGATTAGCCCCTATGCTCCCATATTTGTCTCAGTAAGCTGAGAACATCTTTCTGCAAGAGCTTTACCTGCTTTTAAAGCCATATCAAGCCACTCTTCAGTCTTTATGAGTCGCTTTTCAAGTTCATCGCATTTTTTTTTAAGTTTTCCTTATTAGTTAAACTAGATAGGCTCTTGCTAAATGTTGGAATAATATAAGACTTACTATGTAATTTTATTCGGAATTGGTTTTTATTTGGGTCAAAAATACCTTGAATTTTTCGAATCCATGTCATACCTAAACATAACATTGGTTCAGGTTTACCATTATCAATACGTGTAAAATTTCCAGTAGCTGTAACAGTTTTACTATCCTTATCCTTTATACTGACTGGCACATCTGTAAACCACCCTAACAATTCGGTAATATGTTTAGAGTTATCTTTTATATCGAAGTCAGATAGCTTGTTAGCTTTCCATCCGAGGGCATTAATTGTTGCATCATTTAAGGCCCCAAATTCACTTCCATTATCTAAAAAAGATTTAAAAATAGATAAATCGTTTATACTAGCATTCAGGTATTGTAGAGATGAGAACCACTCATCTGATTTTGATTCTTCTTTCTGAACGGTATGAGATTGACACATTTTTCGCATTGCTGGTAAAAGCTTAGACAATAGCTGATCATATGTTTCAGGGTGGTTAGTCACTAAATTAGAAGAAGGATTAGCTAAGTTACCAGATAAGTTTTCATTTACTAATACTCGTTTTTTTTCCAGAATTATCATACTATATATCATTTTCTTCATTATACCCACTATTTCATTATTAGCTGAAAAGTTATAATTTATTGGTTGAAAAGGATAATATCGTTGTGTTCGATTTGATTTGGCTATCAGTTTTTTGGGTTGATTGTTTATATTAAGATGAGATAACATATACCCAATTTCATCTATTTTCTTCTCTAATCTAATAGAATTATCTTTTTGCTGTAGATGAGATCTTTGAAAAGGTTTTTTAGAATAATTTGAATCTAAATCTTCTTTACTATATATACCTAAATCATTAAAGTATTTCAGTACATAATAATTTTTATAATCTTTTTCTGTTTTTAAATTTGATGGGGGGCCCCTTGGTTGTCTAACTGGTTCAACTGTTTGAGAAGCAGTTTGCTTAGCCATTTGAGATTCTAATTCTGTAACTTTCTTTACTAATATCTGGTTTTCAGTTTTTTGTTGCACTAGTGCATTCTGGATTGCTTTTTGCATATCTTCTAAAGAAATTTCTTGCTGTTGAGGAGCTGAAACAGGTAAGGGTTCATATATTTCTCAAGATGCTCGTTGAGATACTAGCAGATCAGATATTCTATCTCTTTTATGTCTCGCAATTCGTCGTAACTCTATCTCATAAAGCTTTTTAGCTAATTCATCTAATGGCAAATGTTCACTGATATCCTTAGCTTTTTCAAGCCATGGAATAAGAAGGGCATCCAAGAACTTATTACGTAATTCTTTAGGCCTATAGTTAGCTTGTCTACCTATTCGTAACAATTTTCTATATAATTCATCTATAGTCATATTTTCTTTTCTAATTGTTCTATATTGCAAATCCCGAAGCTCCTCTTCTACTATAGGAAAGTGTGTTTTTAGCCACCATATGGCTTGACCGAAATGAATACCAGCTACAACTACTGTAATACCATTATTAGCATTTGGTGCATTAATAGCAATGTTAGTAGGACGACTACCTGCTATGCGCCAATCTTCATTCCAAGAACCCTCTTCAGCTCTTAATTTGACTATTGCATTACTAGGTTGGCCAAGTGCCTCATTCAATGCTTGATTTCCTATTTGAACTGCTGTTCTCCTGTTTACAGCTACTAAGTTGGCCTGCCCTGTAAGTTTGCTAATTCTCAATTCTGTTTTGTAGTAATCTCTTCGTCAAACCATTCTAAAGCTCTTCCTTTCATACATCCTCTTAAATATCCTAT